GAAGCTCTCGATGTCCTTTCCTAACGCGTTTTATTCGTGCACTGTCTCCCCGAACACATCGCACCACAGTGGGGAAGCCATCTGGGTATTTTAGGAGGCCTGGTGGACACGTTAAGTGTCATTAAAAAATATACTCCTTCCGTTGCTTTCATATGCCTGGATTCAGTGTTTGACTGAAAGCAGAATAATATATAACGGTGACTCTGTGTGTGTGTGTGTGTGTGTGTGTGTGTGTGTGTGTGTGTGTAATTTTTTTTTCCCCGCTAGAGCCACCAAAGAAATACCAACCCAGAGCATATCTGGCTGTGTCCCTCGGTCCCCATTGAACGTCCGCAGAAGCCAGGCCGAGCAGACCCATACATGCTCTTCCGTTTGCTTTTGTTTCTTGGCTCTCCGGTCCTTGCCCGAGTTACCCTGCATTTCTCGTCTTTCCCCAGGGGAAAAGTATGAATTGCACGCAGCGACCGACACCACCCCCAGCGTGGTGGTCCACGTCTGTGAGAGCGATCAGGAGAACGAGGAGGAGGAGGAGACGGAAAGAATGAAGAGACCCAAACCAAAAATTATCCAGACCAGAAGGCCAGAGTATACGCCTCTCCACTTAAGCTGAACTGGCGCCCGGAGGAAGAAGTATTCCGAATCACACTCACGGAGAGGAATCTTTTTCTGTGCAAGTGGCCGCTCACGACTGGGGAGGTGGCAGCCGTGATCGCTGCGGCAGAAATTCCAGTTCGCGTTGCTCAGAAGAGAATCAAGGCTTTGTCCTCTGGTTCTAATGCTGGGCATCCGTCAATGTTCATGGCTTCCGGGAATGTCCTGGGCCAATCACTGAAGTTTAAGGTGATCGCACGAGGACATTTGGGCACGTCTCGAGAAAACCGATAACCGATCGTGTTTTGTACTTGTTCTTTTCTGGTAGGTTCTGTCTTTTGTCAAGGGCGGCTTGATCCCTGGGTGTGGGGAGAACCCTCTGTTTCCAACCAGCCCACGGGGCAGACTCTCTCTACTGGTAGGAAAAGGCACCGCGAAGCCACAAAGCGTCCGGTGCAGAAAGGCTGTGGAAACAACAATGCAGTGTGGGAATTGTAGTGTTTCATTTTTCTCCCCATTACGTTCTAATGTTTGTGCATGTATATTACGGATTTTCAGAACTAACCTCTGTTTGTGTGTAGTTATGCCATTGTTGTGTTACATCTTTTGGGAAGATGGGAAAGCTTGAACAACCGATCACCTTTCCAGATTCATGATTCTCTGCGACAGCACTCACACGTGGAATGCACCGGGAATACGTTCATTCAGCATCCTATCCATTGCAACATAGCCCTTGTGCTTTGGCAAAAGAAGTCGATCTGAAATTCCCACGTAGAGTTTCACTTCGTAAAGTGCAGAGAACAGCAGTTTCACTGCCAGCATTTAGTGGGTGAGAAATTTTAGGTTAGGTGTTTGGGGTCAGACATCGGTTCCATTTATTTCTTTTCCGTGGTGGTTTGTACACGTGAATCGTAGCCAAAATACCTTTCTGGGGAACCGTTGGTGGAGATAGTTGATTTTTGTTTTTTTAACCCCACTAAAACATCGAGATAAACCTGTAAATAAAGCCGACAGCATATTTTCATTCCCATTTGTACACTCGGGTGAAAAATACGGCAGTGGAATCGTAGTGTCAGAATATTACCCTACCTGTGACTTGTATGTTGTAGAAAACGCTGTTAAATGTCGGACAGGACTTGAATTCAAAGCATGTCAAGTGGATAGTAGATATGTGGTGGAATGCTAGGGACGCAGTGCCTTTTTCCCCATTGATTCCTGATGGAATTGTTACACTAGGTTAACGTCTGTAATTTTTTTCTGGTCGTAATGTGTGTGTCTGGTAAATAGGTATTCTATTTTGGCCTTACAACACCATAACGAAATTTGTCCTTTTGAAATCCCTAACGCGCAGTAACAGTGCATGTTTTGGAAATTTGGAAGGTGGTTTTCTTTAAGAAGCAAATGCATTAGGTTGTCCGTATCAAGAAATTGACGGGATGTTCTCAAAACCCTGTTTACAGTACTTGGTGAGGTGTTGGGGGGCCGTGAGGGAGAGACCATTGCCTAGCTGTTCAAGTGTTCCTGGCTAAGTGCTTTTAAACTGGAGAGGCTAACCTCAAAATATTTTTTTTAACTGCAGTCTATAATAAATCAACACAATATCCTCTTTACGGAAAGCTTGATCTCTGTGCCCTTTTATTTCTGATGATCGGTCTGTGAACCCTGTGAACCTTGCAGTCTCCAAAGGGCTCCTTCCTTCGTCAGCTGCCATTGAGAAACTTGTGATTCTTTCCTGTGGTTCATGGAGGGTTAACCACACTAACTGTATGTCACCAAGTAAAGCGGAAAATGGAGAAAACTGAAATCGGGAGTCTGGGTATTTGCTTTGTGGAGGGAGACGAGGAAAACCCTGTTCCCCAGCAAAACCACCAGCTCCAATAAGCAACAACGTTTCTGATCGTTCATAGGAGGAGCTGTCCTTCCTGCTAGAAGCCCAGGCAAGACACTGAATGACAAAGGCCAGTTAATGTTCCGGAAGTCTGTCTCTGAGCCTTCCGTCTGAATCCCAAGCAGCCTTTCCCCCCGGAGCCCTTATGACACGTGGCGGCGTGCTTTCTGTGCATGCCCACAGAGGCCCAGACAATCCAGGGTTTATTGGCTGAACTCTAGCAGACGACATTAATCTTGATCAAGGTTAACATTGGGCACTTTTCCGTGAACGCTCACATGCTCTTGTGTTTTTTTTCTCTAAGAATAGCTCCTCCGGTCGTGTCCAGGAGAATTTACATATTTTCAGCCCGTCGATGTTTGACGTTTAAACATGTTGGAAAATCCATTTTTCAGTCGGGTGGCCAAATCTGATTATCGAGCAGATTCACTAAGTGACCGCCTCGTGAGGGAGGGGGCTGCCATTCATCGTCCTGTTGAGTAGCTGGGAGCCCAGTAAGCCCAGTGTGCCAGCCCAGGATCCTATTTCATAAATGACCCTGGAATAAAATCAAATCGTGTTGTCAGTTGTCACCCTTCGCCACTGATTGAATGTGTCCCTTAACTAGATTTTGATAGGACGTATTTCTGATGTGGGGGTAACCGGCTTAAGGGTCATCCGAGGAAAGAAACCCGGCCCCCCACGAAAGGTATGCTAAATCCAAGGGACGGGTCGTGATGGATGGAGAAGTGTTCACATTAGTCAGTAAACTCAGATTTCCGGTCGGTCCCCTTTGCCCACCTGGGAAGATGTAAGCAGACGGTCCCGCTGCCCACAGAGCCGACAAAGCCTAGAGTAGAAATCACAAAAGAACATCTTCACTCAGGACGGTGATGTCAGGTGAGCAGTTCTGTGGCAGCCTCAGCTGAGCTTCTGAAACCCACAGTGCATGCGATTGCTGGTTACCAGGCTGATGGCCGTGAAGGGCCCCCGGTCACAAGTGTGCTCAAGACTCAGACATCTCTTTGGCCCTGCTCCTCAGAGGGCTCCGTGAAATGCAAAGCAACGGACACAAAACAGGCAGAACCGTGCAGAACACGCCCTTTGCCACTGATTGACTGTGTTCCTTAGATAGATTTTGATGGAACATATTTCCTTTTTTTTTTTTTTAAGTTTATTTTTATAGGGCACCTGGTTGGCCCAGTCGGCTGAGCGGCCGGCTTTGGCTTAGGTCATGATCTCACAGTTCGTGGGTTCAAGCCCTGCCTCGGGCTCTGTGCTGACAGCTCAGAGCCTGGATGGAGCCTGCTTTGGATTCTGTGCCTTCCTCCCTGTCTGCCCCTCCCCCGCTCGTGCTCTGTCTGTCTCTCAATAAGGAAACATTAAAAAAAAAAAGTTTATTTTTATTTATTTTGAGAGAGAGAGCAAGCAGGGAAGGGGCAGAGAGAAAGAGGGGGAGAGAGAGAGAATCCCAAGCAGGCTCTGCTTTGCCAGCACAGAGCCTGACACGGGGCTCCAACCCATGAACCGCGTGAGACCATGACCTGAGCAGAAATCAAGAGTCGGTCACTCAACTGACTGAGAGCCCCCCAGGTGCCCCGATAGGATATATTTCTGATCTGGCAGTAACCAGCCTAGGGTCATCCAAGAAAAGAAACCCAGCCTCCGTGAAATGTATGCTAAATCCAAGTGAAGGGTGGTAATCGATGGAGAAGTATTAACATTTCATGCGGCTATTAATATTTGGATTATGAACATTGATTTGCAGTCAGCAAGCATTTAAGATTTTATATTTCCAGAATGGAGTGTGAAATCAGTGCACACAGGTGATGGGGGTTTTCGGAGAACTTTAATTTTCAGTGACATGTACAGAATTCACTACAAAGGAAATAGATCTTATCAAATATGAAATTGCAAAGGATTAACTACAGTATATGGACATGTTATGGCCAAAAAATGAATCAGCAGCTGGGGCATGTCGTGCTCATAGGTTTGCAGAACTCTGTGGAATATTTGCCTCAATATATTAAGTGCCTATCAAGTAACAGTCATCGAAAGGTCAATTCAGAGGAAGACTATAAATAACCTGAAAATTATTTGGGAAGAAGTCAGAATATGTGTAAGAAATACATTCTTTCTCCCCTAATTCTCTCTTCTGATTCCTTAAAGACATGTAGGGGATGTTTTTTCTTTTCAAGTAATGCCATCCCTCTTGGCAATCTCTAATTCACATCTGAAATTCTCACTCTTGTGACTCACCAAAGCTACATGGCAATCAGGTAGATGGATTTTATTCTCACATACCTCATTTTCTTCAGTGCCGCCTCTCTGCTGTGCGTGAAAGGTCATTTTAATCGTGGCTGTGTTTATGAACGGCAGAAGGAAATTATGTGAAAGTGACTGAGATGTGGTGTCTACATTCAACATTTCTTTTTCCAGATTCTGGTTAGGGATACAATGCCCGTTTGACACAGCGAATGAGAGCTGACCGGCTGCCGTAGCCGCTGCTCACCGTTCTGTCCTTCGGTGTCATCAGGAACCCCCTTCTGGCTGACATTTAAGCTCTGGTCACATGGAATTTTCAGTGTGTCTAACTCACCATATTATCTCTTTCCTATGCACCATCCCCCACATTCCCTGTGCCTAGACCATTATCCCATTGCCCCAGCCCAGCCCAGGCTAACTCCGTAATGATGTGACCCCCACGAGAGCAGGCCCATGTCTGTCCTAGTCACCTCTCTCTGAATCACTAGCAGCTACCACTGTGCCTGGCCAGTGGCGACCAATAAACATTGCTGAAATGATTAACTGACTCACTGATAGTTGTCCTACAGTGGCATCACTGATGTCTCCCTCCCCCTGAGAATCATTTCCAGCTGTTACTGCTGAGTCTCCCATTATGTGCCATACTTCCCCTTTGTAATATGTATTGACTTCTTAGCATAAGAATTAAATTGTTTGTCTTCCTTGTTAGAACCTAAGTCAAGTGGAGGCAGGATTTCTGGTAGTCTGTGCCTCAGAATAGACATTCAACACAAGTTGGATGGATGGATGCACGGATGGATGGAAGGATGGATGGATGCATGGATGGATAGATGGATGGATGCATGCATGCATGCATGGATGGATGGATGCATGGATGGATAGATGGA